TCGATTACAGCACGTGCTACGAGGTCGTACCTTTGATACAACATCCAGTGCTGGGACACCCACAGCAAGCCATTTCCACAGCGCTGCACACCAAATCCAGGATGCCCTCAGAAACCGGCAAAGACTGCCACTCACGTTTCACTACTGCCTAGTACTGAATCCTACCTGACTTCTTGACACGACTCAAACTTGCCAAAGTCACTAAATCAACGTCAACTACAATAATCAAGCCACATATCTGCAACGTCACGAGGGTGCTGGCAAAAGTCCTGCTGCACGGCGGCGGGCTTCGCCCGCCGCCGTGCAGCCCAATACGTGGTTTTTTAACGTGATTTTTTGGACTTTTTTGGACTTGGGGCAAAATTCTGCACACTTTCGCGTGTTTCCATAATACGACAAGTTGCGCACGGTCTGCTCACATTCAAATACAGTGCTGCCAACAAATGACAGCATGCAACAAAAAAATCTTTCCTTGCAAGGGCACATTTTCGGCCATAACTCTTGAACGGCTGGTCAGATAGGGACACAATTTTCAGAGAATTTGCAGCTATTCATGCTCTTTCAACTGACGTAGCACTCAATATGAATTTACAAATTCGATTTTTCAGCGAATTTTTGGGTAGTCTGCCACCTTAAGTACATTTTCTGGTAATTTTATGCATGTTTGGTATGTGGATAAAGAAATGGAGCAGAATTCGAGGAATTGCCCGCCATAAGGTTTGTATGGTTCTGCCAATTTCGGTGCAAAAAAAGCAGAATCTGCCACCTTTTCGAGCATTATCCGCCAAGGCCTACCACCAACACAGCTTGAAACACCTCTGTACAGACCTGGCGATGCACGTGTGCATGTGTACGTGAACACAGACACGCACAAACACACACACACACACACACACACACACACACACGCATACACACACATACACGCACAACCACACACACACACACACACACACACACATGCAAACACACACGCACGCACACAAACAAGCACACACTGTTGCGCATAAGGGCACTGGGAGGCATGATGTTATCAATATTTTCCACTCCACATCAAATAGATGTCAAACTACAACAATACCAATAGACATAGCAAGGTATGGAGGGAGTATGATTATCAATAAGAAGAGTGTGTGCAATGGGATTTCTCACCTGTTTTACTTCATCCACATTCCGAGCACAGCACACAGCATGATAAACAGTACGTATCCGAGAGGACATGGCCGTCGCTTCCTCTAACGTCACTTGCATCGTGTCATCACCACCATCACCATCACCACCATTGCCACCACCGTCCTCTCCTGCTCCACTTCCATCCCGTACTCTGCTTCCATCCTGTGCTCCACTTGTTGTTGTTGTTGTTGTGTTTATTTTAATTCGCAAACCAAACGGGCAGATCTGCCCAATGAAAAGGTGGCGAATGCAGATAGAAAGCAGTAATAAATGAAATTGGGGACTGATGTAATTAGGATAGAGGTGGAGAAAAACTAAGCCAGCTGATCATCAAACAGGACGTCTGGTACTCTAGGTACTAAGGCCAGTAAGTGTGTGCGGGATCATGCTGGCGCGGAACTGGCGGAGCGTGGAGATGGCACGTATATCGCTGGGTAATGTGTTCCACAGCTGGGCGCCCCGGAACGCGAGGCAACCCTTGCCGAACCTGGTGGAAACTGGCGGTTGGCGCAGACCCATGGTGGAGTGCAACCTAGTTGGGCCAGCTGCCGAAGGAACTAGGAGGGCTTGCAGTTCAGAACTTGCGTGCTCATTCCGAGACCTCCAGACCAGAACGATGAACTTCTGCCTGAATATCTCGGATACTCTGTAGGTGTCCAATTGCAGCAGGAGGGTACGCGTGGAGGTGTGATGCGAGAGTCCGAAAACCGCCCTTGCCGCCCGATTCTGCATGACTTGTAGCCGATCCAATTGGTTGGCAGTAAGAAGCGGGGAAAACGCATTGGATCCGTACATCAGGTCAGACATGATGATCGCTTTAAAGTAGAGAACTCGGCTCTGATGAGTCAAGCAGCGACGCAACCTCCATAGTGCTCCGATCCTCTGGGCCAGTCGAGCGGTGCAGCGATCAACATGGGGCGTCCATGACAGATCCGAGTCGAGGAGCACTCCAAGATACCTGGCCGCAGTAACGACAGGAATCGGCGTTTCATGACAGTTTACATTGATCGTATGCTGGGGCTGCTGAGGCTGCCTGTTGGGGTATACAGGGATCACTTGGCTCTTGGCTGCATTCAAAATGAGACCACGGGTCTGCAACCAGTCAGCAAGTGCAGAAACCGAGGCCGATAGCGTAGCAGATACCGTGTCCAGGGATGTGCTGCTGCTGATCAGCGCAATGTCATCGGCAAATTGAACTGATGAAGACTGGTTAGCTATGGTTGGAACTTCGCGGGTGTAGATACTGAAAAGGATCGGTCCTAGAACAGAACCTTGTGGCACGCCACAGGATGGTGCAGAAATGGCACTCTGATCCCGTCCAATACAGATACGCTGAGTACGGCCCGACAGATAGGCGGAAAACCACTTTAGGGCTGTCCCTGTTATGCCTATATCGAATAGGTCCTGGAGTAGCCGTTCATGACGAACCTTGTCGAATGCCTTTGACATATCTAGAAGGCATATGCCAGTACACAAACGCTTGTCCCGTGCACTAAGAATACGATTTAGCATAAGTACCAGGGCATCCTCCGTTGAGTGGCCTGCGCGGAATGCAAACTGAGTCGTGGGGAGGGTACCAGATATGTCCAGAAACTGGGCTAGCTTCTTTTGTACGACTTTCTCCAAGAGTTTTGATAATATGGGAAGTAGGGACACTGGACGGAAGTTAGTGGGAATAGACGGGTCCCCGGCTTTGAACAGCGGGATAACGTGTGCGAGTTTGAAGGCTGTGGGGACAGTGCCATTGACAAGCGAGGCATTAAACAACGTGGCCACGGACGCAGCTAGGATATCGGCACAGCACTTCAGAAGGTGACCAGGTATCCCGTCGCTTCCTGTTGCTTTGGCAGGATTGATTTGTCGGAGAAGCCGTTCTACTTCGCCAAAAGACACTTGGGGCAATTCTGACATTGCAGTCTGAGGCTGTGGACCTTGCGGTAGCGGGATGCTGTGAGGACGGGCATTGTCTGTTACTACTGCCTGGAAGACTGACGAAACTTCTTCAATGGGGCAAGTAGGCTCCACACGTACTCTCTTCCTGTTCGTAACGGAGTTTATGACGTTCCAGAGCTTACGCGGGTTCTGACTGGACGCGGCACATTGCGCTCGGAAGAAATCATTGCGCTTTCGGCGATAGGCATTTCTGGCGCTTGAGCGTGCTTGCTTGAACTGTACGTGAAGATTCTGGTTTCCCTTATCGCGTAGCCACCGTCGGTGTAGCTGGTTTTTACGTTGGTTGAGCTTGTGGAGCTCTCTGTCGGACCAGGGCGGATGGGATTTGCGGTTGGAGGATACATAGCGGATGGGTGCATGCTTGTCCACGACAGCCAAGAACTTGGTATGCCACGACGCCCACATGGTGTCCACATCCCGCGTGTTAGTAAAATCATCCAGCCCTGCGGAGCTGACATCCCGACGAAATTCACAGAGGTTCACCGATCGAGTATTTCTCTGAGCTCGGACCCGCTCTACTGCCTGAGTTGACACGCTGCGAGAAACCTGAAGGTGCAGGTTAGCCTCAATCCCAAAGTGGTCGCTAATGGTCAAAGGCAGGACGTGGCACTCACTGATGTCTTGACTAGCTGAAAGAATGAGATCGATAGTTGTACCTGATGGGCACGCCGGTGAGATACGAGTCGGAGCATGAACGTGATTAGTGAGGCCGTAGCAGTTGCAAAGTTCGAGAAATTTCCGGGCGATAGGACAAGGTGGGTAAGGGGTTGAAACATTAACGTTAAAATCGCCAATGACTGTGATGCTTGGGTTGTCCACGAAAGCCCTGTGCAGCTGCTCTTCAAAATTCTGCCAGTACAAGATGGGCTCGTCAGGTGGCCGGTAAAAGCACCCAACTAGTTGTCGCCTTCGTCGCCCTTTGACTTCGATCCAGGACGATTCAATGTTAGCGTCGGAAAGCTCTGGGCGCGGTTTTACCTGGAGTCCGGAACGGAAATAAAAGCATACACCGCCACCTCTGCGCACTGAACGATCGTGCCGTATCACACAGTAACCTGGTATATCAATATCACTGTCTGACGTTGTGCTGTCAAGCCAGGTTTCTGCGACGCCAAATATGTCGAAGTTGTATTGCTGTAGGATATCGGCGACCTCAGCTACTTTGTTTCGAAGACTACAAACATTCAAAAAGCCCAGTCTTATGAAGGACTCTGTCAGTGGGGTAAGGCGGTGAGCAGGGGCAGAACGGTTATTCTGGGTACAAGAGCCATGAGCACTGGGACCTGGGATGCCAGCGCCAGCCCCAGGGGAGAGATGTTGACTGTGTACACTACTAGTAGTTAACTTGGAGGGGGAAAAGCTGGGTGCTAAGGGATTAAGAGACGCCATTAACATTTAAAAAAGATACAGCTAAAGAAATTGTGTTCTGATGATCTATCATTACTAGGGAAAAAGGGATCAGCATGGGGATTAAGAGCAAGTGCAGTAAGTATTAACCGTAATTACCTTCATTGCACTAGTAGCTTCCTCTGCGGGCAGCTTCAACTCTCTCTGCCAGCTTCTTGCGCTCACGGTTTGAACACTCCTTAGCCCACGCAATTTGCGGGTCGTTCAAGGCAGAGGCAGGTGGCTCAGTGCGCCCTGATAGGACAGTTAGTCCGCAGTCCAGGGTGCAGAATTGTGACTTTTCGTTCGCCACGAAAGGGCACCAAGGTTTGACATGACCAAATGAAAGAGCAAGAGCAGGGCTTTCCAGGCATGTGTCTCTTGATTAGCTGTGTTGGGGCTTTGTTGACCAAATCGCGACAATTGTTTTTCTACGCGTTGCCATGGCAACTGGATCATTAATTTGAATTTTGAGGCTATTGCAAGCATCATAGCGATGTTTGTGAACTGTATTCGAGCCACAGAGGCTGAGGAGAGCCAGCATACGAATTTTTACTGAATTTGGATGAAGTATAGGCATGAAGAGAGGAGAAATAGTACTGCACAGTCTGCACAGTATGACACAACATGCGACACAGGTGTCATGTCATGTACTACCTTGCAGTGTGTACCTACAACCACACTATCGCATAACGGATGAGTTCAAAGCAATAATACTAATAATTATATTATGTTCTAGAATTACATGTGACAACAAAATACACAAAGGAAACCTGATGAGACGAGTTAGTTAATTACATGTATAGAGACTGTCGAGTCACCTCCACCACAGTGTATAGAGACTGATATGAGTAAACCCGTGCCAAGCACACTGGAGTCGGCCTTAGAAAGAGTGCATTTACTTCAAGTGCAAGTCAACGTAATGGTTTACAGCAATGCAGTGGCTGAAAATGCAGTGTGTGTGTCAGCACCTAAACATAAAGAAATGCGGCATCAAATTTGTTTCAAACTAGGGAAATAGTTCCGCAAAATATTAGACAATGCTGATAGTTAACCGCTGTGTATATTGCGACCCAAAGACCAGGTATGGTCAAACAAAGGGAATGAACTATTTTTAACTGTACTTCCGCAGCGAACACAACAACACCAGGGGCATACGAAGGGGTGTTTGGGGTGCCAAAGCACCCCCCCCCCCCAAAAAACCGAATTCGATCTTGGTTTGCAGCTCGTTCAAGAAAGACGATAACGCGCGGACCATAACTCTACACATCGCACACTGTAGCCATCCCTGTTCGGACTTACGTGGTTTTTTATTTAAATCTGAAACCAATCTACGCGTTCTTACTTGCCCTTGACTATTTCGTCTGATGTTTGGCCATTTTGGAATGGTTAGTACGCTACACAGTGCGGCACGTCAGCCTTATAATGTACATCATCCGCTTTGAATGTCTTGTTTTATGCCGTTATGTTCTCCACATGTTTCTCCGTAGAGCTGTTGTGGTTATGATAACAAAATATACCATGTGACGTTCATCCACTGTTCGTAGACGGCTCAATTTGCCGAAGGCAAAGAGCGGAATACACAGACTGAAGAACGAGCAGTTGCGGTTTCGTAACTCTCAGTTTCACGAACTAGATCGATCATCAGACGAAGATTGATACTGACCCTGCCCTAAGAGTGAGAGTACTGATATATACCATGGATGTGGCAAGCGCAGCGGACTTAGTATTAGTAGCACTCTCAGGCCAAGGTCAGTATCAATGTTCGTCTGATCGGATTGATTCAGTTCATGAAACTCAGAGTTACGAAACAACAACTTCACGTTCTTCTGTCTGTGTAATAACAAAATATATAAATATCGGCCGACATGAAAGGACCACAATGAAGGCATGCTCTTTTGTGTGGGAACGTCGAGGAAACCACCTTGATCACTATCCTGGCTACGCCCCTGAACACAGTCATCAAGTAGTTCACTGCCTACAGCAGAGAAGAAATCATCCTCAGAGGAATTCGATGAGGCAGTGAGGTCAGCAATGTGCGTCTTTTGTCTGCTTGCTACAATCCTAGCGAGAGTATCTGCATAAGTGCATGAATGATAGCAAGACTTATGGTAGTGTACCTCTCTAGCGATCAGATTCGCTGAACTGATTGCTGCCATAATCCTTTGATCTTGTCGTGTGGCAGCAGCGTTCCGCAATTATTTCTTTTCTGCTTCCACTGTCACGAGTTGAGATGTCGCCTGCTTGGTTGTACAGCTCGCTTATTTGTTTCAGCGTGCCACAAAACAGGCATATTTTTTCTTCTGGTTCAACAACAGGGGCTCGTAGCGATTGATGAGTCCTGTCCATCGAACTGCGGACTCCTCGGATGCCGTGCAGGCTGTCAGAATATTTGGCACTTGGCATTGGGTGAATACACTTCAGAGCTCTATTCGTTTCAGGTTCCGGTACAGAGGAGATAGCATCATGTACCTGGCCGGCCATGGCGCCAGCACTCGGCAGGAGCTCATCACTGCAGTTGGTATTGCCAAAATACGTGAAACCATGGCATAGGCGAGGCACACCCGATCGACCTAGAACCTAAATTCTACAGAGTACCGTCCAGGAATACGTTTTTACATCTGAAGCGCACCACGTGGCACTCGAAGTGTGCGAGATTTCAAATTTGAACTTTTGAGTGGGTTTGATGCATGCTCAAACTTACGCTCCGCGAAACTTGTGCATGGATTTGCCCCGAAGAAATTCGCCTCTATCGTGAGAGCGCCCCAGATCTAGAAGCAGTTCTCGACTGTTTTGGGTACCTCAAGGGGTCCTCTTTCAGGCCCCCACATCAAACCTTGGTGCCCCGTCGTGGCGAAGAAGGTGTGTTTGCCTGCTGCCAGTCTGAAGCCATCGTCATCAGGAGAGGGGGCTGTCCCGCTGCTCTTTTCGTTGTCTCCAGGTTGGCTGAAAGCCGGCACATGGTTACTGGTATCAGTTGTGCCAGTGCTGGTCCCATTGGCTAAAAGTGCCTGGCGATAGCTGTTGACTGAGGCAGTGTTCAGCCCTGTGTTGCTAGCTGCACCTGTCTCCACACTGACGACAGCTGGCTCTACAGCGGCTTCTGCGGGCTGGGTAGTCACCGTACCCGTATCAGTGGCTGTACTGACGCTGGGAGGGTTTGTACTCGTACCGGTTGTGTTGCGGTGCTGTGCTTGTGGAAGCTGGGAAGCTGTAGACTGTGCCCCACGGTTGGGACATGCTTTAGCCTCGTGGCCACTGTTGTTGCAGCGCCAACATGTTTGCTGTTGGCCGCGGTGCCATACTCGCAGTTTCAACTGACCTACGGTAACCGTAGATGGAACTGGTGATCGGAGGACCAGGCTGAGAACACGGGTGCCAGTACTTATTTCCAATCCCTCAAACAATACTTTTTTCTGTTGAGGCGACCCAACAATTCGGCCGAATTGGCCCAGCGCAGCACACAATTTACTGTTTTGAAGCCCGACAGGGCAACCAAACACATGCAGATGGGTTAAGTCCACCCCGGAAATCTCGCAGAGCACCTGCTTACCGGAAATCCGGATTCCTGCGTCCAGTATCTTTTCCCGCTCAGCAGAACTCTTCACTGTAACAACGCAATGACCAGGCTTGCCCTGAAGGTCCACCTGGCAGACCTGACATATATCTACCTTACTCTGCTTGAGCGCCTTGGCGTAAAACAAGTGGTCTGCAGACCAGTCCTTCTCAATCCTAAAAGAAAAGGAGGCCGGAGCAGGAGCTCCAAAACTGCCAACCGTCTCCATCGTACATCAAGCAAGATACTTGCATCCTGCCTTGGTCCGCTCACCTCCTGTGTTTCGTTCACTTGTCCTGTGCCAAGATCCGAGGTTCTACGTAGATCATTCTTGAGGCCAATCAGGGCTACTTGAAGAGACTGACCATAGCGCGTTCGCATCATCTCCGAAAACTGTACATGAGACACAGAGGATATCGTACAGAGAACTGCATGATGGACTCGCTGTTATGTTACCCGTATTACCGTCGAAATTGTCATGAAAAAAGATCCTCGAGAAGAGAAAGAGCAAGGGAGATGAAAAGAGAAGGAGAGAGTGTTTCTGTATGTCTGTGTGACGCGTGTGTGTGCATACAAATGTGCGTGCGTTTATGTGTGTGTGTGTGTGTGTGTGTGCTTGGTGCCAGCTAGTTCGGTTGGTGGGTACACTTATGCCTGATTGTGTGGGGTCTGTTGCCAACAGGCTCGGCTGGTTGAAGTTGTATTGTGTTGTACATATCTGCCACCTTTGTTGGTTTCAGGGTTCATATACTTTCTCTTTGAAGTATACATACCTGTTAACCATGGACTGCTTCTGGCTAGATTAACTATTGTGTAATCAATGGTACTAGTGACGCTTATATCAGATCCCCTCTGATTTAGCCACCCACACTAGTAGCAAGTATTACCTTCACTGGGGGCAGGGGTAACTGCAGTTGGATCCCAGGACGGATACCGTGATGCCGTCAATCCTTTTTCTGCACCTTGTCCTCACCCACTTAGGGCGCGCTCACACTGCGACCATGAGCACGCGTCCATGCGTCAGCAAAACGCAGAAACGTGGCAGTCGTGCTCACACTAGGCCTCGTACACGCGTAGACGTGAAGTTGTCACACAAACTTTACGAATTGCAGTTCGTATCCAAAAGAGTTCGTGCGTTTCCTAATAAAGTTGTGGCCCGTTTTGGATGTAAATGTTCGCAAGTTGCATGTTGGAGGAAGTGCCTCGTGGCTCGTATTCTTGAAGTCGACGAGAATAATTCATACAATCAGGTAGGTTTGGACTCTTGAGGGACTGCCGCTGACATCCAAGCGCTTTCGCTTTCCTGACCTCGTGGTTAGAGCAAGTGCCAGTGCAGTGGAAATTCCGGTAGTGGTTTCTTTCGTCTGTTGCCGAGATGAGAACTGTATTTTCCGATGATATGTAACTGAAATGTCATTCCATCATCGCAGAAAAGTAGAGAAAGATGATTGCCCAAACCTAAAAGCCAGACCAAGCTGCCATCGTATTGAATGAGTACACTGTACTGTAGAAATTGGTCACTGACCCGATCACAACGAAGCAACTACAAAAACGAAAACAAAATCGACATCGTCCAAAAAGGGCAAAGAATGCATAGTATGGCGGTGCGTGCGTGCAGGATCTAGGACCACAACCACAAAATTTTAAAAGTGTGCAAATGCGGTGACATCGACAACCGCCAGTTTTCATAAATCAACACACCGGAATTTGAGCAATTGAACATACTTCAGGCCAGGTTGTACACAAATACGCTTCACGTCTACGATCATGTTGCCGCCAAGTCGTGGCACCCCCTCCGGAGGTCGCGGTCACGATTTATCATGCCGTTGCCATGCAACTTGGCCGCATGGCCGCATGGACGCTGGTTTTGGTCGCAGTGTGAGCGCGCCCTAACTGAGGTGTGGTAAGCCCATAAGTGGGATCATTTCCAAGTCCACCCAGAGTTTTTTGGGATTTGAGGGGGTGTCGGCCGTTGGGCGGTTCAATACCCATTTGATCATCTTTCTAAGATTCCTTTTGAGTCTCTCTCCCCTCTCCCGGGGAGACCCACGTGACCAGTATTGGCAGTGAGAAACAAGTACAAGTATGTGTGTGTGTGTGTGTGTGTGTGTGTGTGTGTGTGTGTGTGCGTCCGCATGTGTGTGTGTACGTACGTGTGTCCGTGCGTTCTTGTGTGTATGCATGCGTGTGGTGTGTCGAGGAATGAGTGGGAGAGAGACACACACACCCATACACACACAGAAAAGAGAGAAAGATAAAGAGAGGTGTGTGTGTGGGGGTATTTACCGGCCACTTCAAGAGCTACAGTGTACACAGATATCATAGCATACCAAGGAAAATAATACACGGATGCACTCACAGATGGGGTATTGTTGAAGAATTGCCGATCCACCACGCTATAACATACCAACACCACATCCTGCAGAGGATGTACACCATACATACACACACACACACACACACACACACACACACACACACACACACACACACACACACACACACACACACACACACTTACACATACATACACATACACACACATACACACACACACACACACACACACACACATACACACACTGTACTGTACTGCACTTGCTCACTGCCAAAATTGGTCACGTGGGTCTCCCCGGGAGAGGGGAGAGAGGAACTCAAAAGGAATCTTGGAAAGATAACTCAATTGGCTACTGTAGTCTATATTTGGAAGTATGTGTGTAGGAATGTTGCTAGTACTACCGGTACTACTGCTGTCACTGGCACTCTCCTGACAACACAGTGCTTCTATAGACAGTGATGCTAGCAACACTGCATGCTGCTTGTAATAATAATATAATAATCTTTATTTCAGGATTACCCAAAGGCTAACGCCTATCTGGGGGATCTCCTATTTGTGTATGTACTAGTAACATAGTTATGGATGCGAGAGAAAGTGCGTACTACACTGAGTACTGATATTTATACATGGATTTTAAGGGGAAGTCCGGTGAAAAATTTAAATTTCAGGGTCGGTAGAGTTTCGGGCGCTGAGTCGAATGGTGTTGGTCCCACGTGTCTCCGACAAAGCGTTCTCGAGATATTTCCGTTTGAAAAACTGAGTTTCGGGGGCTGCGCCATGACGTCATGCGGCCGCGCCACACCCTCTGCAACGTCATAGCGTGCAGCTAGGTCAAAAGGAGTGCGTGAAAGCAATAGTGTCAGTGCTATTTCAAATGATTTGGTGACTGATATTAGGTGGTGCAAGCGACCCCGAAGACCTGTAACTCCTTGTGAGAGTGAGGATGCAGCCATGGCTGACCTTCATGAGTTCGGTCTGGGGCTGAGAACCTCGGTATTCAGCTGAAGAAATGGCCGCACGGGCCGGTCAAGAGTCAGCGCTACTGAGTTTCCGACTGATGAAGAAGCAGCAGCTATTGCAGACGAGGCTCATGTAATTATCAGATCGCTGGAGAGCAGGGTCGCCAAAATGGAGAAGAGTGATGCGAGTGCTCTAAAAATGTTGTTCCATACCGATTAGATTCGCTTAGACTCCAGTAGCCTGCCACATGGTGATGTTTTGGTGCGAACTTGGAATATTTCGGACCACTCAATTGGAGAACAGTGCAGGCTCTTTGAACCACGGGCACGACTCTTCGCTCGCAACGCTATGGAATCTGAAAGTTCTAGGTCCGGGAGCTGTTCGCTGTTTTGTCACTTGTCACGGTTGTGCACTCATCGCTGTAGCATAAAATAATGAGGCGGGTGCGGAAAACTAAAATTTTCTTTCTCAAAGCACAACCACCGGCACCGGCAAGGAGAAACGCACGTTCTCTGACTACATGACTGTACAATACGACTGATACGAGTCGAGTGTATGACAAGTCCGTGTGTTGACTAGTTTTCTGAGTCTTGTGTCAGTTGTGACATGAGTTTGTTGACTGCACTACAGCTACATGCATGTAGATAACACACTGCACGCACTGCATGCACGCAGCGCAGAGCGCGTAGAGCCGTAGACCATGGTAGACCATGTAGACGGGCTGACGGAAAAGTCCAACTCGGAAACGGCTAAAATACGGTATAACCTGCTGGCTCCAGGTTTACCGAGCTGAAAATCACAGGGTACGTAGTGTTTGTAACACTGAATCGAATGGTCTTGGTCCGAAGAAGCTGCGACAAACGGTTCCCCAATCGAACGCGCTCCGAATATGGCCATTTTTGTACACAACTAGATGGTGTGGCTACCTGGCTGCACGCTGTGACGTCATCACCTGGATCTGGGTGATGCGCGCTCAAATTCGCACATGTTCGATTGGGCGTATCTGACGAACCATAAGCCGCAGCCTCCTCGGACAAAGACCATTCGACTCAGCGACCCGAACTCTACGGACTGTGAAATTTAAATTTTTCACCGGACTTCCCCTTTAATACTGTGTAGGCTGCTTAGTCTGAGTTTGAGTTAGTTGTATGCTGGTTTGCTGATCTATCATGACACGTGTATTCTGACAATCTGCTGGTCTGTCATGACACGTGCATTCTGACAATCTGCTGGTCTGTCATGACAGGTGCATTCTCACCATGAGAAGTGAGACGGCATTGTGACGCCAAGCACTGTCTGCCTCATGCCTGTGCTCAGAAACAGTAGATGGGACAGTGAGAAACGCACACACAAACACACAATGCACTACAGTAGACAGTGCTGTAGAACAGTGCAGTTAGAGTAGCAAGGGAAAAACCCTAGTACTGGCTCTCATGTACTCATACAGTCAGTAGAGTGGTAGGTGCTGCTGCTGCTGTTGCCAGTGCCCGCGCCCGCAGTGTAGCCTGGGTACATGGGTGCACAGGGTGCGCTTGCCCCGTCTCACTCGCGGCTCGGATCTTTGTGCAAGTCATCTATTATTATAGCAATAAAAACTGCTTTATGGCAGTTTTCTAAAAAAAGTTATTGTGTTCTAGTCCATGGACGGACCCCGTCTAAAAGAAATTAACGAAATGTGATAGCCGAAAATTAAAATTTCACACAAAACCTCACAATAATCACAACACTTGAAATGCTGCTTTCAACACTAAACTTGCACTGCACCAACAATTGGCAACATGCATGCATAGGAAAGAGGATCACGAGGGGAAAAGGTCTTCTACATGTAGCTTTTCTTTCTGTGTGTGATTATTGTGAGGTTTTGTGTGAAATTTTAATTTTCGGCTATCACATTTCGTTAATTTCTTACTTTTTAGACGGGGTCCGTCCATGGACTAGAACACAATAACTTTTTTTAGAAAACTGCCATAAAGCAGTTTTTATTGCTATAATTTTCTTTTGTTTTTTCTGTCACCAATCAATGGAATGCCCTTTATCAATATGTAAATGATGGCCTTCACATCATATCAATACCGTATTATACGCATTGATGTGCAAGCCTTTTCTTGCAGAAAATGGCACTAGCATAATGCAATTGCATGTTCTTCTGCGGGGAAACATGACATGTGAGTAGTGGTCTGGTGGTGGTGATACTTTTTTTATACGGAGGTCATTCTGTGCATGTTGCAGCTTGCTGTTGCAGAATTTCATGACTCTGTCATAAAATTGTCTTGCCTTTCAGATATTTCAGATTTCCCCACCCTCGATCAGATTTACTTGAGAAATGTAGCCAGGTGCGTGTCGCAGATATTTTTGTTGATTCTGTGTTTATAATGGTTTATAATCATGGGTTATCGTGATAAGGTCATCCTGCATCATATTGCACTGAAATGGTAATCCTGTTGATGTCGATACGACTTTTGGAAGTAGTTCAGTGACTTTAAACTGTTAGTCCACGATTTTCTAAAACAACACAGCAAAGGAGGAACAATAAACATGTATTAAAATGTAAACAAATACATTGCTGAGTCCGACACCTCGTTCCAACAACTACACTGATCCTGAGGATAAAAGGGGCAAGGCTATGGTTGGAGGTACTGAGAGATAAACAAGGCACTCCACAATAATAAAATCTTACACATCTTTTGGTGAGTATGAATGATATCCAGTCGAACTTCTTTAGGACGAACACTAAGGGACCGATGGTATTTATTCTGTGAGTTTGTCTTAACCTATTTTATAACCAGTGAATACAATTATTATTTCTCCAAGAGACATACGAATAGATTTCTTCTACAGCGAAAGATTCTGAGCCACACCGACTCATTGACTCGTCTCGTTTGAAACAAATGAGTCACTAGAGTGGTTCTGCAAAACGAAAATGCGTACAAACTTTCGCTATACGTCATGAAGTGCGAAAATTCGCACGAACTTTCGCAACTTTGGACGCGAAACTTGCAGGGAACGCGAAATGAACTGTCGTAGGAAATTTCGTGAGATCGTACGTGCACTTGGCCCCAGAAACTACGAAAATGTGCAGAACGCAAAGTTCGTGCAAAAATTCATACACACTTCTACATGTAGCTTTTCTTTCTGTGTGTGTGATTATTGTGAGGTTTTGTGTGAAATTTTAATTTTCGGCTATCACATTTCGGTAATTTCTTACTTTTTAGACGGGGTCAATGGACTAGAACACAATAACCTTTTTTAGAAAACTGCCATAAAGCAGTTTTTCTTGCTATAATTTCTTTTGTTTTTTTCTGTCACCAATCAATGGAATGCCCTATATCAATAATTATGTAAATGATGGCCTTCACATCATATCAAGAGGTTTATGTACTCTTGATCATAGCAATACCGTATTATACGCATTGATGTGCAAGCCTTTTCTGCAGAAAATGGCACTATCATAATGCATGTTCTTCGGCGGGGAAACAGGTGGTTTTTATACGGAGGTCATTCTGTGCATGTTGCTGTTGCAGAATTTCATGACTGTCATAAATTTGTCTTGCCTTTCAGATATTTCAGATTTCCCCACCCTCGATCAGATTTATTTGAGAAATGTAGCCATGCGCCAGGTGTGTGTCGCAGATGTTTTTGTTGATTCTGTGTTTTTATAATCATGGGTTATCGTGATAAGGTCATCCAGCATCATATTGCACTGAAATCGTAATCCTGTTCATGTCGATACAACTTTTGGAAGTAGTTCAATGACTTCAAACTGTTAGTCCACGATTTTCTAAAACAACACAGCAAAGGAGGAACAATAAACATGTATTAAAATGTAAACAAATACATTGCTGAGTCCGATACCTCGTTCCAACAACTGCACTGATCCTGAGGATAACCGGGTCAAGGCTATGGTTGGAGGTACTGATACTGAGAGATAAACAAGGCACTCCATGATAATAAAATCTTACACATCTTTTGGTGAGTATGAATGATATCTAGTCGAACCTCTTTAGGACGAACACCAAGGGACCGATGGTATTTATTCTGTGAGTTTGTCTTAACCTATTTTATAACCAGTAAATACAATTATTTCTCCAATAGACATACGAATAGATTTCTTCTACAACGAA